ATATGTGGACTTCTCTAATTAGTATCGCCTTTTTTAGCAATCAGACAGCCAATCTGTGTAGGCGATATAGACAGCTCTACATCATATCAAGGCGGTCCAAAAAATTTTTGTGGTAAAGGGAGGAGTAGAGAGAGGAAAGCCAAAAGTGCATGAAAAGAAGACCATAAACAGCTATACGCAAGAAAACCTTTACGAAGCTAATTCGAACTATCAAAATCCAAAACATTACATGAGCCCCCATCGATTTTGAGATATTTGCAGAAATAGTGAAGACTTGACTCAACATTAAGAAAAAAATGTAAATAGTAATGAATGTTGAAAAATTTAACTTCGTAAAATCTGCTACCTCATTCTAGCACCAACCGGTGCATCTCCTCGTCGAACAGCAGAGCTTGGTATCCCGGGAGGAGCATTGTTGATATGCATCAGTCGGCGAGCCTCTTCAATTTTCTCCTTCTTTTCCTTTTCTTTCTGGTCTGCTTTGGTTGCATCGTAAGGATGTGATAGCAGTGCAACGCCTGAACCCCAGAAGAGTAAGAATAAACTTCAAATGTCTAACTGAAGATCTCTCACCAACGTTAGAGTGCTTAAGAGCACCGACATCGTTGGTTCCGTCACCGCACATGAGGGTGATGTAGCCGAGTGACTTGTACTCATTGATCACCCGCTCCTAAATCGAAGTGTAAGCAGGCTTTTGCACAATCGTTAAAAAAAGTTGTTGAATGCGCATATTAGCGAACGGAAAACAAAAAAATAAAGCGGTAAAGCAGTTCCATAATGCATAAAGAGCGAAATGAAAGGCGAATGTAGCGTACAAAAAGACCTTTTGTTTCGGAGCCATTCTAGCAAACACTCGCACATGTGTTATGAGCTTGTCCAAGAAGTCACGGTTATTTTCTAACAAGAAAGCGAATGCCTGCAACAAAACTGTGAAAGAGAGGATGAGGATACGTCAAGATCAACTGACCGGGCCTGTCAGACAGAACTCATTCTCTGATAGAAACTTCTTCAAGCTACTTTTATCCTCGTATGGAACGGCAGCGTACTCAACAGATTCATCGACGGCCTGAACCTCAATAATGATAGAAAATGGTGAAACTTAGAAAAAAAAATTGTATCTATTTTCAAACATTACTTCTATGTTAAGAGGATAGGACTAGCAAAATGAGTAATTCCGCTTGACTTTATCGATAATAATCGAAATGAAACCACTTGCAAAGAAGAAAAGAATGGAGTAAAAGCACAATCATGCTGAATTATTATGTATATAAATAGAAAAAGCTGAAAGGAAACAAAAAAACCAAAAAAGAAACATAATCGAAACAACAAAAATTTCACCTTCCACTTCCACTCCGCATCTTTATCGACAGGCTCATCCAGTACTAACGTTGG